GTCCTGATGGCTAGAAATTTTATATTTTTTGAAGCAAACAAGGCCTTATTCATTCTACTCTAAATGTTTTTTTCTACAGCCTTGTATTACATTTCTTGTGAGCAAAACCAACTGCTTTTTGCTGAACTTCTACTCACCGTCTATCCTTCAACATAAAATGTTCAATTGGAAAAAGCTAATCGCTCCAGAACGAAGTTTCCATTGGACACGATTCCAGTGCCTTAATGAAGGCTCAAAAAACATCGTTCTTAACATCAATTATTCAAAAGGCCACTGCGGATGACTATTAAAGGTCAACACTTTTCCCCGTTTAACATTCTTTGTTGTTCGAAATCAGCCAGATATAATTGTCTGATAAATATTTCAGTGGCTGTTCTTCCAGTTCCCGAGCAAACTTTCTGGCACTAATGAAAAACTGCGAGCCACTATTTAAGCCCACCTTAATGCAATTGGCAAATGTCCCGCAGGAATTGTTTCCATCGGAGATATTTCCCTTTAGAGCAATTTCATAAATATATTAAAGAGCGATCCCTCTGACTTATGCTGTGTGGAGTGTATCTATTTATCTGCGTCGGAGCTAAACGGCCGAGCAGACGGGAAAATTGAGTCGCTTTATGGAAAAATAAAAACGTTCACTTAGAGGTGTTTAAAAAAGCTTTCCGCGTCACCGTGTTGTGCGCCGGAAAATGAATTTCCTCCTTAATGATTAGCAAATGCCGCTCTTAGCCGAAGGTCAGTGATAAAGACGGACAAATTCGGTTTGGTGCTCGTCAAAGGAACTTTACGGCTGTTGGGGACGTTGCAGGACCGGCGAAATCCCATGTAAACAGGCCATTTTATCCGGGAAATTCGGCCGAAAACAGGCAGAAACAAAGCGAAATGCCAGCTATTAAAAATTCGGTTTGGTAAAGTGCTCGATCACCCTAATAGGGCTAACCAATCCGATAAAACGCAAGATTAAACCCGCAGACCACTTAAATCAGCTTCAATCTATTTCGCCGAAGAAAATATATATAATCTTTCAAGAAATTGGGCGGCCTGAAAGCTGATATACTAAGTAGATACTCCGTTGCGGAAAAAATGCCTTGACGATCGGATATTAAAAAGTGAGCCCATTGATATTCATAATGGCACTCAAATGTATTTTTGGAAAGAAAACCCGGTGTTTGATTTGATCATTGATGGAAATGTGGCCATTGTGGCCTGGCTGCAAAAATCGACTCTAAAGAAATGCTTATTTTATTTAAAACAATTGGCGGAATATGCAAAAATCCCCCGTTTCGCCTGAGACAGTGGAACCCTAATCCGACAATATATGGCTTGGTTGTTTCGTCCAAATATAAATAATTTTCGGTGCTTGGAGCTTCTGTCGACACGCCATAATTCACCGTGCAGCTTTACGAGAATAAATAAACTTTACACTTAAGTTAATAAATGCTTGGAAGCTCTCGCTGCTGCGGAAACATCTGTGGAATTTTAATCACATTAGAATATCTAGGTAAGGAAGAATCGACTCCCGCCGTTAGAAAAAGCATGGAAAGCTCAGCCGAAATGTAATGAAATCTCCTGCTAGCGCCGAAAGAGAGCCGAGTTTGGGGAATATCATATTTTATTAGATAGACTCGCATTAGATTGCAAATAGGGGAATTTTTAATGTTGCGGAAAGAGATGCAATCGCCACCCGACAGAGCTTCGCTACCTGAAATCCTCTGGCAACTTTTCGGTGGAAAAAGTGCAAATTAAAATGTCCGAGGCTTTTCTACGCGAAACCAGGTCATAAAGTATTTACACGCAGGCATAACCCGGAAGCTTTCCGGATAAATATACACATCTTACGTGAGACGATTCTTCACCTGAAGTGAAATTGGGTCATATTCGAATGGCACAAGTCGCGTACCTGCTGAAATAGATCCTGACCCTTTTACACATTAATGAGCAACTTCGCAGCGAGCGTATCGGCCTCCTGCTAAATGAGTTTGCCATGTTAATATGCAGCTCAGAAATTTCACTTTGACTCGCAAAACTGCGTGATTTGATGAACTGTTTTATGTGGAGAACGGCAAATGTTTCGCAACTCAAATAACAAACTCGAACTGAACCGTCCTGCGGTTCAAGTGCTTCACGCGAATAACAACAGTTTTTTAATGTGGATCAGCTTCGGGCAATATTTCGCCATAAACATCGCAATAAAAGGAAAATATCTTATATCGTCAAGAATCAATAGAGGAGGAGAATATTTTTCGGAAAGTTTCCTGCGGCGAACAGTCAAAGAAAAACTCGATTTCGGTAAGTTCAGATCGACGGCGTCAAAACTGGCACGAAAAATCACATAACGGTTGCTGGAAGTTTATTTACAGCACGTTCGACTTATTCATATGGAACTGGAAATCTCGAATTCATTCCTGGGGCCCACATTTATCAACTTCAGACTATTTAGAGATGACAAACTAACAGAATTTGCGCCAAATAAATGAAATTCATGGAAATTGAGGCATTTTTCCGAATTAATTCAAATCCACTGCAGGCCTTTGGTTCACGGGTATTCTGATTATTGAGAAATCAAGGATGATAGCTCATGAGCAGCTGAAACGCCCAAAATTTGAAAATTTTCTGAGCTCCTATAATTTTGCCTACTTTTGCAAATGAAGTCAAATTTACACTAAGTATTCACTGAAGCTTCCGTTATGGATATCTGGAGCCCGCAGGTCGATATCGGGCTGGAAAATAGTCAATAGAGGGTGAGTGCAAGAGTGGCCAAATAGCCCTAAACTCAAGAGGTTTATAAATTCTTGTAAGCTGAAATATTTTTCTAAAATTAGTGAAATTCTYCYCGGRTCTGCCGCAAAGCCCGCTCAGTCGACTGTTGAAKCCCGCGTGCCAATATTTGGTYCGGATGTTGCAAAAATCAACAGCAAAGTWTGACAATGCATAAAAAACTGAGGGGTTCAAMACTTAGTTAATTTTGCAATTAATGTAATTTAACGTACTTTCGCGACTGAACTCAAATCCCCACTGAGTATTAAATKAACCTTTGTTTATCCAAATGTGAAGCTCGCATCCACATAKYTGTTCTGAWCGRTAAGAAATGAACTTTAGAGGATGAGAGCGCAAGAGCGACTGAATAGCCAAAAGTTCAGGACTTTTTATGGCTTCAWGTAAACTAAAATAGTCYTCAAAAAGACGTCAAATTTACACCAGATCTTCAGTAAAGCGTCCTCTATCCACCATTGATGCCGTTATGCCAACATTTATCCYGGATGTTGAGAAATCAGCAATAAAATTTGACAACGCATAAAAGGCTGAAGAGTCCAAAACTTCAAATCAAACTTAACTTAACTTACTTTYACAAATGAACTAAAAATGTACTCTARGGATTAWGAAAGAYTTTGTTTAGACTCARGTGAAGTCCACATCCAGATATCTGTGCTATACACTTAAAAATAGACRATTTTAAGACAACTTTATTTTTTTTTATTTTTATTTAAAAATAGACAACAAGCAACTTAAKAGCCAAAAATCCAGGACTTTTTATAACTTCATCTAAACTAAAATAACTGAAATCTCTTTCCGAAAAAAGTCAAATTCACACCAGCTTTTATATCATGAGTCTTCTATCGATGGTGGAAGACGGTATGCCCATATTTTACCGAAGTATTGAGGAATCGCCATTAACATGTTCGCCATTAACATTAAAAAATTCAAATTTCAGCAGTTCGTGCAATTTCACTAAATTTCGTAAATAATAAGTTAAGTTAACACTGTGTATTAAGTGCRGCTTTCTAATTTTTGTCAACAKAAATTTTCAGTCCTCCTCTCSTCCTGTACGTTTGAAAATGRACAATAGAGGATGAGAGTACAAGAGTGGGTAAATGGCKWAAAACTSAGGACTTTTATGACTTCGTCAGAACTAAAATATCATTCCGAAAAAAGTCAAATTCACCTCAGCTCTTCCATACAGAGGCCTCTATGGACGATTCAAGACGGCGTGCCAAGATTTATCCTGGATGCTTATAAATGTACAATAAAGTAGGACAAAGCAAAAGGGCGGAAAAGTCCAAAACTTAGAAAATTGCATCAATTCATGTAATTTAACTTACGTTTGCCAATGAAGCCAAATTTACCCCAAATGTTACATGAAGCTTCATGCAACTACTGGTGAAGTCCGCAGTCAAATATCTGCCCCATGTGTTGGAAAATGGGCATCAGAGAGTGCAAAAATGGTTAAATAGCCCAGAAACCATAACGAATTTTTTTAAATGATTGAAAAAGGGCCGCGCCTGATGATGAATAGTTGATGCACTCGAAACTTGTTCAGTTGTTGGCAGCTTTGCAACAAATTGCTTCTCCATTAGACTGGATGTTCTTCACCAAACCTGATTTGATCAGTCAACTGTTCTTGTGGCAAAACATATTTTCCAAATCAAGATTCTTTCAAACAGTCACTGGCAAAAATCGTCAAATTTTCGGCATTTCTAATATACTTCCTCTTTTGGTGCAAATAATCGAAAAAAAGTCCATAGAAAAATTTGCAATTACATTATCAAATTGCTTGAAAGAATCCTGACTGCTCAGGAACACTTGCTGAGTAATTGTGAACATTTTTCGGCGCCCTCGTCCGCTAAAACGTGGAATAATTGCTTCTGAGCAATGCAATTTAAACACACTTGGGAGTCGTTTGATGGCCAACATGTCGCAGCCCACAACTGAATATATCAGTCAAATGCTGAAAGAGATCTTGCCTACCTTCACCGCTTAGAGACCATTAAAATCGCATTTAACTTCTCTTCAGCAATGGCGTTTTATGCAAAATATTCGTTGGTACTAATGGCATCTTTCGAGGATTTTAAGAATGTTTCCAGAATCCAAAATGTAAATTGCCGAAAATCCTTTGCAACTAAGGCCGATTTTCACAATTTCACTGTGTATGACTCTCCGTTTATTTACAACCCAAATTTATGCGAATTTTTGTAGACGGCAACCAATTTGAGGCCACTATTTACCTTTTGCCCTTCAGCGAATTCCATTTTTCCATCTATGAAAATGTCGATTGGCCCCAAACGCCCTTTAGGGCTCCATGGTCGGAAGGGCCAGAAAAATTGCATCCGATCTACACCACTTTGGGGAGACTGTGGCACAATTTTCATTCATAAATATTTGAAAGTGGTGCTTTCGCGCCCGCGATTCAGGCGAATTTTCCGAGCCGATTTTCCACGCAACCGGGACGCGAGACTGTGTGGCCGCCGAATGAATACGTTTCGCTTTTCGTGTGGCTTTCCATGCTTTTCCACCTGACGACTGCGCCAACTCCCCCTCCCGACTGCTGGGGGGATCTTGATGTGTGCGATGGCATTAATCACTTTTTAATTTTTGCATACCTGTCTACTTCAACAGCCCCATTTGGGGTTTAAGTGCCCATTTGTGTGCGGAATTACCGATGTTCAGTCTTCATTAGCCGAAGATCTCCTAGAGTGTGATCTTGGTGCCAATTGAGGCAAAATTCCTTGATTTTATTGCAAATGCCCGATTAGGGCAAAAAGGCTCGTGTTCTCCCTTTTCCGCTGGAAGAAGCTTTCAATAATTTTCCAGTGAATGGCTCAATCCTCCCATGTTGGTTGGGAGTAGCAGCAATTTTCCACATGCCAACGCCAATCAACTATCTTCATAGATCAGCATCGGATCAAGTCATAAACCGTTATTTACCCTTGATAGGATGGAACGTTGCGTAAGTCAAGGATTCACTTTTCGGCCTGAACAAATCTGGATATTTCATTTATTCTCAGCAGGGAAAATTTCGCGATTGAAGTCCAGGAAGATCTTACCAAATTTGCACTTTGCCAAGCTCCAAGAGCGCCAGCTCCAGATCTAAAGAGCAATATAATTGCAAATTGCCATTTAAATTCGCACTCAAAGTGTTTTATTAAGTTATGCAAATGGGGACTTGTTTGCTTGATCAATAGCGAATTTTTCACTGGTTTAGTAGTTGGAGATGTTTAAACTCCACTGATCGGCTGCTTTGCCGTGTTCCCTTAATCATCACTGTGGGCCGAAACGGCTCCATTCCAGCCTGAAATGAATTTCGCAAAAGCTGCAAGATATTTCCATAATCTGGATTTTGATGTTTACGTGCCATGCTCGGTTTCAACTTGAGCAGCGGCTTTACCGGGAGAGAAATTGATGTTTTTGTAATTGGCTGGATGCGCAGTGTTTGCATGTTAAGTTTATGAGTTTTATATTGCTTAGTCAGTGAGAGTAACTAAGTAGATTTATGCGAAAAATTACGAATATTGCGAAAAGTATGACTTCAGTTCACGGTTTAAGGGGCGGAAGGGCCCTCAATTTTTCATCTTCACTTCACTTCAAAATTTTATCTAGATCCTAATGGTCTGAGTAAGTGATTGGAGATTGATAAGCCCGTGTTGATCAATGGCCGTTTTGAAGTGTTTTGACCAAAACTACAACATTCTGTAGGCGTTTTTGGCTATTAGGATGCAAACATTTCGAGTAACTTTTTT